TACCTCCTTCAGAAACCAAACTAAAAATACTAATTAATCATAAGTCTTAGTAGTCAATACACTATCCACAACCTTAAAACCTAGCTTCTTCACTCCAAGAACTAAGATCAGATTCACTTCATATTTCATTACCTTTATCTTTATGCAATAATCAAAAATCACTATGTTTTTTACCTGCTTCACATCAATATAATTAGCCACTTTAGCTAATACCGAAGAAATGGAAATCGTTATATACATACATATAACAAGCAAATCTTATACTGTTAAGTTAGTTAATTTCATATAATTTATTCCAAATACATATACCTTTATAATATCTTATGGCATATTATAATTTCATAAACTCTTTGACTCATGGTTACATTAAAATATCTAATTAACTAATTTTCCATGATATTATGTTTTCACATTTTGATTTAACAATTCATAACTATCTTAAAGGACTTAAATATCGTGTAAATAGCGATTTCAAAACAAATTTAATTAGTGTATATAAACTAAAATGTCAAAAATGTTGATTTTCAATTACAACACGACATAATCCTCATTAATATAATCTACTATCACTCTAATAACATATTACATACTCCTCTTAGAGATTTCACACAATTTGCATCTTAACAAAATTCAATCAATCTAATTCACACAGCCATATTATTATAAATAACCATATCGGGCACAATTATAATCCGAGAATAAAGAGAAATCGCGATGCTAGAGCGTACCAAGTTGAAATTTGGGGCGAAAACTGATTCATCACCATATAAAAATACCGATCAGCACAAAAGAGACATAGCAGTAAATTTCCATGTCCATTCCTATCAAGATCTCCGCACATCAGGAAGTCGAGATAACGCGGTCGGAAATCACAATCCAGGAACCGCCGACCTCACTTGAGCCATAGGCTAATGCCGTGGCATCTTGGTGGTTCTCAGGTATAAGCTCGAGATTTCACCAACAGAATATCGCGCTTATACATGCACCACCAACACCAAATGTGAGCACCTTAGCAAAGGATTTCACCTTTAAGGGACGTCCCAAAATCTTGACGCTTGTTTTGTTGAGACCAGTAGCTCATTTGGAAACCCGGAAAAAATCGAGGACAAAGAAAAAAAAAATTCAGCAGACAAGCATACTGTGGTTGCCTTTGTATAAAAATCGGTAAAATAGATTAAAACGCAAATACCCAAACAACGACGAGCCCCCAAGGACTCCTGCTCGCGCATCACAATAAACGCACAGACAAGACCATTGACGAAACTGAAAAGTGACAGAGAAGATCGGCAGGATTTGTCATTCTGCCATGATAAGACTGACCGCTTCGATTGGCTCTTAAGTCACTTGACCGGAAAGAATCCTTAGCTACTGAGTCTCCGACGAATACAAAGGAAATCGCTGACCTCGCTCTCAGGATATACACCTCATAGCTGCTTTGTCCCCAGAGATATTCGGAGACGAAGGAGAAGGGAGAAGCTCGCCTCGATGAAGGAGAGGACTGGAGCTGTTTGGTGATGACAAGGTAGCCGGAAAGTCCGTGGAGGGAGGAAGAAGAGAGAGGGGGAGTCGCGCGCTGTTGCTGGCGCAAGGAAGAAGAAGGGAAAAGAAAAAAAGGAAAAAAAAGAAAAAGAAAAGAAAAAAGAAAAGAAAAATCTTGGGCTTCTAGACCATTCCGGTTCGATTCGAACCGGTTTGGTCTAATTTAATGATTCGGCTCGATTTTACTCAGTTTACAGGGTTTTTCACTAGGTCTTCGAATAATCAATTTGCGTTTCGGGTCCGGTTCAATTTATTTTACTTATTTTAATTAGGTTTCATAACATTTCCGGAGTCACCGGTTTCATATTCCTATTTTTCTACTCTATTTATACATTAGGTGTCATATACATTCCTCCATTCAGCTAATAAAGCAATAGAATAAATAATTAATAAAAAAAAAAAAAGAGTTATTAACAACACTAATTTGTATTTAAGGACAAAATTAATTTTATATATACATATAATGTCAAAAACACACCTAATAAAGAAAATTAAATATGCAGAAAACTATTATAATTCTAAAATACTAGAACGAAAAATAATTTGTAACTGTATTAGCATCATAGTGTCCAAAATGTTATACGGTACTAATTACTATCTCAACAACAAACAACGGATTGGAGTGGGCATTGTGGGGCCCAAATAAGCAAAAAGCCATGTGAGAGACACTCAAATTCAAGATTGCTTCACAATTATTACAATCCGCCCATCACCAGTCAATATTATTCAAAATATTTTTGAACTTAATATTAAAAAGAAAAATTCAAAATGTTTTTCGGAAAATAAAAATTTCTGAGTTGTTTTTCAATTACTAAATATGGTTTGAATACATGGAGTTTTTACTTCTAATTTTTATTTTAACAAGATTACATGTACCATATAGTTAAATAATTCTTAATATATCTACAATATTGTTTACCTGTCGAGTTGTTGGAGTAACTCTTAGTTATTAAGCATGAGTGTTTTAGTTTGAAAATTCTCGAGATGATTATTTTATAAACTTGATAGTGTAGGGAGTTTCAATGGAGTTATACAAGTAACTCACTTAATTAAGAAAAACACTTTAACAAACTCATACCTTAATGAAATTGTCAGTTGAGAGATTTTTTAATCAAGTACAGCTGTTGAAGCGCTATTTTTAATTTATATTTGTGAGGGATTAAATTTTTGACCGCTGCACACACTTCTTAGTGAGGGCAATATATCATATATCAACATTGACATGATTGTTATATAATATATATATATATATAATATATAATATTTATATATATATCAATTAAAATAAAAAATTGATTAAATTATTTTTAAAAAAAATGTAAAAATGGATGTTTTTTTTTTAATCATTTGTCCTTTTCCTTTCATCGAGAATGCGCATTCTTCAAGACTTGAAACACTAAACAAGCCGACAAGGCCCAGAACCCGTGGGTTAGATAATTAAGAAGCCCAAATAGGACCACTCAACCACTACAAGCCACTAGAAGCAGGTGAGCTAAGGTCAGCACGCAGAGTATCATACACAAAAATACGGCTATTGCAATACCCGGAACAGATTTTTGTCGGTGCCATTAAAAAACCGCTATTAACAAATTAGAAAGCAATATCACATCGATGGTGATTAACTGACTTCACTAACACGCGCTTGGTACGAGCGTGGACTAACTTCACCTGATGTGTGTCGGTGCTGCTAAAATCATGCATGACGTGGGGCCATTGTATGCTCCAAGCCGTCACATTTACCGCCTATATCGCCTATAATATAATATATTATAAAGAATATAAATATATATATATATACTCCGGTTTCAAAATATTTGTAAATGTCAATTTTTTTTAAAAACACATTAATTGTATTCTCATAATATACTAAAAATATATATAGTATCTTCCGTTTCAAAATATTTGTAATGTCAATTTTTTTAAAAACACATTAATTGTATTCTCATAATATATAAAATATCTATATTTTTCTAAAATTGTCCTCCTTTAAAATAAAAAAAGTTATCTCTAAAATTTAAAATCATCTATAATGAAAATATAAAAAAAAAAGGTAAATATCTCTTAAGTTAAGGGGATAAATATTTGAGAATATGTAAAGATAGAATATAGATAAATACAGAGAAAATATATATTATTTAATATTTTTATATTTAATTATAATAATTTTTGAAAGAGATATTTAATCATAATATTTAATTATAAAATTTCCACTCCTTATTTGGTATCATTTTCTATTATTCTTTTTGTTTTTTCTATCTCTCCAAAATTATTGTCTTTTTACTTTTTTTCATAAATAATATTTAAGATCTATTATTTTAAACTTGTTTAATATATTCATTTAGCCGTGTATATATTATTCAAAACTAATATATTAGATTTTAAATAAAATTAAAATATCAACATTTAATCTTTTTCTCATATATTATACAATTTTCTTAGTTATTAAATTTAATTTGATGATTTCAATAATAATATTTAGTAAAAAATTATTTTATTTTAATTGATTGTGAATACAAGAATATATGAGAAAAAATAAAACTATAATTTAATTATATTGATTAAAATTTATTAAAATGTGTGAAACTCAAATAATGATAAAAATTATAAGACAAAAAGAGTAATAATTTTTAATTGATTTCTGACTTTATATATTAAGATTAGTGTTTTCTCTAAAAATATGTAGGATCAATGGATTTAAGACGTGGGCAAATTAAATTAATTTATTTGAAATCTAAATAATTCAATAAAAATAAAGTTTGGAATAGAAACTATTGTAAATTTGTTTAAGCTGCAATGGGCATATGATTTTATTTAATTTTTCCTCAAAATGAAATAAAATTGCAGGCTAATTCCCTGACAAATAAACAACATAAACATAAGATTCCTTTGGGATTGGAGAGTACATAATGCGCGTGGAAAATAAATTAAGTGTGGCAAAAACATAAAATATGAGCCACGTGAGGATATAAGAGATACAGCTCACTAGTAGCAAGCCACTCACATGACACGCTTGCAATTTGACACGACACATCAGTGCTTCCGTCTTCTAATTTCTATACGCTCTCTGCTTATGAAAGTTACCCTTATTCGCTTCCTATCTATGGAAATTTCTCCAAGATAACAATGTAAGGTAAACAGCGATTAATCCAAATAAATTAATCAATTAATCACATCTAATTAATTACAAAAAAGGTATTCTATATCAGTGATTATGGGCATTAAATTAAATGAACTTAAACCATTTTTTTCACCCTCACATTTTCGAATGGTTTGGTTTTCAACCTAAAATAACCTTTGTTCTCTGCACACTTCAAATTGCACCTTTCGTTTTAATTATACCTTGATTTTAGAATTGGACTTAATTGAAAAATAAAAAATATTAATTATGGGACCCACTTCTACATCGTAGGCTAAATTAACCCACATAGTTAAAGTAAACAAAATGCTCCGTTTAACTTCTCTTGCCTATAACATAATTTACGGCTTCGCTCCTCAAACAAAACTATCTAAGGTGCCACTCCCTCTCTCTCCTTCTATGTCTATCACTTTCTTTCTCTAACTAACACTTGCCACCCATGTATAAAGTTGATCTCTCAAAACTTAAGCAAAGCGTCTTGCTGTCATCCATCTTCAAATGGGAAGGGAGAAGGAGCACAGAGAATGGTATGATTTTGTATTACTTACGAATTTTTGACTAAAAACTTGAATTTAAAATTCTGAGTTGGATTTGATTTACATTTCTGTTATGTTTGGTTATCAAAATTAGCCAAACAAGAAGAAAAACTTGTTATTCTAAGGAAAATAGCAACCGATGGAATGAATTTACAATTGCATAAAAATTATATTAATCATTGAGAAAACTTTTCAAATAATAACGACAACAGTAATAGAAGGTTTTACCTAATTAATAATGAATTAGATTATCAGAGACCAATTAGAAATCTTGTTTGAGACCCAAATTAAGCTACAAATTTATAAGTGAAGGCATGGTCAAAGTTTACAATATTATCAATAACGAAATAAGAAAGTCTATTATCACGTCCATTGTATAATTAATTCAGGCCTTATTGCTTATCATTTATACTTTTTATTATTTTATAATGAAAATTATTGGTGCTTATTCTATAGCTTTTCCTTTGAACCGGCCCATTAGAAATGATACTTCTCCTGGAGGTCCATTTGTGCAAAGGAAGGAGAAGTTTAGAACTGATATAAATATTGATTGCAAATGAATACAATGAGTATCCTGCTATTGGTTATCATAATGCAATCAATGCATCAATTCTAAAGGGTTGTGTTGAGGTTGATATTGAAGAGGAGGCATTTTTGAATCCACATGTAGTTGATAGTAGTGATGAGAGTTCAATTGCGGAGGATGACTTAGATGATGAAGAGTGTTTGATTGCAAGAGAAAATAAAAGAAAATTAAAGACTACAATTATTGATCATGAGAGAGGCTTAGGACTAGATGATGACAATCACGTGGGATAGCTGTCACTAAATATTGATGGTGAATTTGCAGTAAATTTAGATGGGAACTCAATATATCGAGCACCTATAATTACTAGTGACTATGAGGAATCAGATGCGGAGTTCTCCTCAACATATACCAGTGAAGAGGGTGATATGGAGGTTAAGAAGAAAAACAAAGAGAAGAATGTGTATGATCCTGAATGTGATAACAAGAAGCTGCAATTGGCTGTTGGGTTGATCTTTGGCAGCACAGAACAACTTGTAATGGCTGTAAAGTAGTATGAATTGCTTAATGGCTTTAATGTGACTTGAAAAAAGAGTAAGGAAAGAAAGGTCGATTGTAGATGTATAGAAAATTGCAAATGGAGATTGTATGGTAGTTGAAGATCTAGGAATCAATTTTGGGTTATAAGATCATATCAGGAAGAGCATCTATGCTTTAGGTCCTTGATGAATAGACAAGCAAATTCGACCTTTTTGGCAACTGAGTACTTAAGTCAGATTAAGAGAGACCCCACTTATAGTGTTGACAAAATGATAAAGGACTTCAATGAAAAGTATGTTGTGACAATTAAGAAGAGTGTTTATTATAGAGCGAAACAGAAAGCCCTTGCAAAATTAAATGGCTCACTTGAGTCGCATTATGCGAAGCTTAGGTCTTATATATCTGAGTTGCGAAAGTTAGATAAGGAAGGTACATTTGTGATTAAGTGTGATGAGAATAATGTAAGGGGGCCTAATGTTTTCCAAAGAATATATATAGGGTTTTCTGCATTGCGAAAGGGATATATTGAAGGTTGTAGACAATGTCTTACTGTTGACGGTTGTTTTCTTAAAACTATGTTCAGTAGGGTGTTGTTAAGTGTAGTGGCAAAAGATGGGAATAACCAAATTTATCTCGTTGCATGAGCTATAGTAGAGAGGGAAAATTTCACAACCTGTTTTTGGTTTCTTGAATTGTTATTTGTTGATCTACAGATTACTGTGGGTTTTCGTCTGACTATTATTAGTAACCAACAAAAGGTATTAATCTCTATTGCTTATTAAATGTTAACATATGTTTACGAGGTTAACATTATAGTACAAATTTAATGATTAAAGTTCTTTATTTTCCCCCATAAAATACAGGGATTCGATGTTGCAATTAGAGTTCTTGTACCATATGTATAGCATAGAAATTGTGCTAGGCACATCCATGCAAACTAGAAGAAGGTGTATAACGGAGAAGGTTTTAAAAAAGCATTCTAGGAGGTAGTATACTCAACTTATGAGGCAGAGTTTGAGAAGAAGTTAAAGGAATTACAGAATATTTCAGTCAATGGTGCGAATGACTTTCTAAGAAAAGATAAGACTAAGTTCTGCAGAGCCTTTAAAAGTATTGATCCCAAAGTAGATGATGTAACTAGTAACATAGCTGAGACATTTAATGGTTACATAGTGAAAGCAAGGACGACGCCTCTTATTCTCATGCTAGAGGAAATTAGAACTATATTGATGGAAAGAAACTTCTACAATAAGATGAGAGCTGAGAAATGGAATGATGAGGTAAGAATTAGAAGGATAATTGAAAAAGCCAAACTGGGTACTTCATGTTGTGTGTCAAGACCATCCGATGGGAATAAGTTTCAGGTCCAAGTTTCTGGTATTTGTTGTGTCATTGGATGATAGAGAGTGCTCATGTAGAGTGTGGCAATTGTCAGGAGTTCCTGTTGTCATGTTATTTCATGTATCCACTACATGAGACATGGCCTAATGGACTATGTACATGAGTCATTAAAGAAAAAGATGTACTGTGTTGGGTTAATTTAGCCTATAATGTAGAAGTGGGCCCCATAATTAATATTTTTATTTTTCAATTAAGTCCAATTCTAAAATCAGGGTATAATTAAAACGAAAAGTGCAATTTGGGGTGTGTAGAGGATAAAGGTCATTTTAGGGTAAAAATGAGACTATTCGAAAAGGTGAGGGTGAAAACAATGGTTTAGCCAATCTAATTAAGAGTACTTTGATTATTTCATGCTTGAATTATAGTAAAGCAGATGAATTTGAAAAATGTTTAAATATAGTTCAAAATTTTCTTAAATGCACCTTATTTCACTTATTTAATTTGATCAAATCTAATAATTTCATTTATGCTCACCTTTCAGCATTTTCTAAATTACATCATTTTTTAAAAATTTTATAGGTTCTTGTAACATATTCCCGTAATTGGTTCTTATTATATGCAATTAACTGAATTAAAAATTTTAAAAACATGAGAAAAAATTTAAATTAAACCCAATTTGGAATTTTTTTTTTAAAAAAATAGATATGGTAATATGGAAAAAAAAATTTTTAACCATTCATAACTAAGAATGCTCGTTTTACCCGATTTGTTTATAAATGGAGCGAATAAATATATGTACAACTCGATCCAAACTTACCTGACTCAATCCAATTATTTGTTTTCCTTTTAAAAAAAAAAAAACTCTAACTATTTAGTACATATTGATAGTTAGAAAGTTAAACAAAAGATAATATGGAGAAAAATGATAAGAACTTATTATATTTATAAAAAATAAAATACTCCCTCCGTCTCATATATATAGGTTCATTTTCCTTTTTTTGTACGTACCTATTTCACATTTTTGAAAAATCATTTATTACGTAATTTCTTAATATACCCCTATTTAATGTACGTCTCTTTTCCCAATTGTACATATATCATTTAATATTATAAAGGGATAATTTTGGAAAAAACTAAACAAAAATATAATTTAATTATATTAACTAGCTTTTCTTAATCTATATGAAAGTCAAACTATATATATATATATATGGGACGAATGGAGTAAAGCTTAAGTATCTGTGCGAAGAGAATGATGATAATTTTTATAGAGAATGCGTATAGTGGTTGTCTTGTTCGAGCGTGGAATATGAGTTTATATTATTGAGCGGCGGACTCGGGTATTTAATGTATATTTGATAAATTGTTACTGAATCCTCTGAATATACGTTGTGCCTTGTATTTATATGTGCTAAGGGTCTTATGCTTATTAAAGCTTCATATATTTACAAATAAGATTTTGGTATATTTATTATGGTCTATTGTGCATGTGCATACACACATATGTATAAAAATTTGATTTAATATAGAGCGACGAAGGATAAGACTTGCCTACAGTATGTATATGAAACCACCAATTCATCAAGCTAATAACAAAAAGGTTGTTTTAAAAATTTGTTATTGTTTTATCTATATTTTTCCGAGGGGTGTCAAAACGGATTGGAGTGTCGAGTTTGACATGAATTCGTATAATACGCAACACGATTAGAGTTAACACAAACACTACTCATTTAATAATCATGTCAAATTTATCAACATGAACACGATGCGAAAATTAAACAAGTGACACGAACATAACATGTGTACCCAATCTAATACCATAAACTGATTAAGTGGGTCGTGTTGATCCATACACAACGTGTGTAATCGGCCTAATATAGTAAACAGGTAAAGTGGATCATATTGACCTGTGTACGACTTACTAACCTGCTTATAATATTTTTAAATTTTAATATATTTAACTCAAATCATATTTAAAAATAAATTTTCATACATAAAATACATAGATTCTTCAAACCTCAATCAACCTGCTTATAATATTTTTAAATTTTAATATATTTAACTCAAATCATATTTAAAAATAAATTTTCATACATAAAATACATAGATTCTTCAAGATTCATGAATTAAATAAAAAAATTAATACAATAATTCATTTTAAATAGATTTTAGTTGGAGTATTTATATTTGACATTAAAATTACCTTTTTACTCTTAAATAAACGGGTCACTCGCCTAACTACGCGTCAACCTATGACGCGATACGTTTATATTTGTATCATAAATGGGTCACCCATGACACGAACCCGTTTAATCTCATAACCTATTTATTTCACGTGTTAGGCGATCATCTGTTATGATTCATTTGGACACTCCTAATTGATGGATGGTCATGAATACTCGTTTGAGCAAAAAATTAATTTTCATGTAAATCCTTGGCTTCAATAAATATTAGTTTGTAAATACGAATATTGCAAAATCTAATCTGAATTTACTCCATGATCATATCTATTTCCTATCCGCGATTTGGTATATATTTATAAACGAGAGATTTTAGAGGTTTTTAACATTTCAAATAACCATCAAAATAGCTTTCTCTCTTCCAAACCCCTTTCCAGAATAGTTTTCTAATTCATTCTTATCTTATTTTACCCACTAAAATCTTTAAAAAAAAAAAAAAATCTACCCAGAGAGGTTTATGCCAAACGTTTCCATTATTATTATTATTATTATTATTATATGCAGTAACTGCATTAAGTAATCTAACTTGTAATGGAGTTAATAAAATTTTAAAAAATTAAGAGAAAGCTTAAAATATACACATTTTGGATTTTTTAAAAAAATAAATATGTTATATATGGGAAACAAATAGCCATTAAAATACCTTTATATCTTCCAAACGTTACAATTTTATAATTTGATCTTGCCTTATTTTACCCTCTACATCCAAATATTTATGCCAAGTATCCCTATATTGCTTCTTATTATATGCATTAATTTAATTATACAATTTAATTTTGTAATAGAGTTAATAAAATTTTGAATATATGAGAAACCTTGAAATATATTCAAAAGATCCTTAATAGACTTTCCTGCTCCACAGCCCATGGAAATTGACGCTTTCAATAATTTTTAATTTTTTATATAATGACATGTGATACCACGTATTAATTTTTTATTTTTTTTTAAATATCAAAATGAGATTTAAAGAAGTATATTGCTCCAATTCAATTTGATTTTAGGCATTAATTTGTTTAACAGCAAATTAATTTAGGTAGTTCAATTATTTTATTTGACGTTGACATATATAAATTAATTAGTATAGTTAAAAGGTTTTTGTCAAATTGGAAGAGTTTTCAGATTTCAATCTACAATAAATAGAGTTTTAACTGTGACTATATCTCGAGCTGAATTAAGCAGTTCTATACAAAAAGAAAATTAATTATATTATCTTGTTAATTTGGATTTAAATTTTTAAAAGATTATCCCTCTCACGTGATTTGATGAGAATAATCCTTTAATGAGTCAAACAAACATTAAAAATATTTAAAATTAAATTTAAAAAATTCAAATCATAACTAAATTTGCCATAATTATTTCAATTATGGTTATATATTTGAATACAAAGGAGGAGTTTAAACCTGAAAGAAAGCTCAACCTCCACAATATGAAATGACTAAAGATAGAAAATAAATAAATGAAAGTAGTTATTACGTCATATATGAGATGAATTATGAAAACAACTAAGGATAAAGACTTTCAAGAGTAAAGAGAAAAAAAAAAAAAAGGCACCGACTCACCAAGCAGCTAAAATGATTAATCCTCAACCTAAATTAACCCAAATAGATTTCAAAATTATTATTTTGAAAAATTTTAATTAAAATCCTAATTTTTAAGTAATATAAGAATTTTTTTTTTCTAAAAATAATTTAAATCAGGATAAGAACCAGTGGCACCACTTTCAATTTCAGCTATAAAATCAAAATTTTAATTTTAAAGTGGTTGAATTTTAAGATTAGTTGAAATTCAGGGACCTCGGCATAATAATATTTGAACAACTGGAACTTCTTTACATATAAGTTAAATTCACATGCAATCAACATGAAACCGCGTGCACATCATTAGCCTTTTAGTTTAGCTATTCTATTCTGGTATCCATTACTGAACTGTGGTCTCACCTCCTTATTATTCTATAATTCTTCAATAACCAACACCGAGCTGTCGCTCCCAAAAGACAAATCTCAATTAGATCTCGGCCAAATTACCATGAAGTCCATGATATTAGACTAAAATTATTAATTTGCTAATTATGATAAAGCTTCAAAATTTTAATTTTGTTAATCTAATGAGTACAAAATGAGTAGTTGGACACTCTTTTTTTTTAAATAAAATCGAGAGTTTGATATTTATAAATAGAGTAAATACTCAAATTTAATGGATTGACCCGGCACGAGTAACATTTAGTTAATATTTCCAATAAGTGTTGATGAGTTATTCAATATTTTTTTCCTTAAATGAAATAAGGGTTAAACTCTCATAGATGAAGCAAATTCTTACCCTTATTGAGCATGGCCGGTGGTGCGAACAAGATTTAATCGTACTCAGTTGGCTAGAGATACCTATGGTACCAAAAGACTAGTTAGTCTTTTGTTTAAAAAATTTGACATAAAACAAATATGAAGACTTTATAACAATTTTTTCAAACAATAGGGGATGAAATAATAATTTTAATTAAATTTTAAGGACTTTGTAGCAAGTTGCCCTTAGATCTACCATTCCTTGAATTTTTATAGCTGTCAAACAAAAATGGCAACGGAGTAGGAGACACGGATAGAATTTAGAAATTTTAGAATTTTCATTACCGTCTTCCGATCCAATCTCAAATCCCTGTCACCGTATAAAAAAAGTTTTACTACTTCACAGGCAATAGTACTACTGTATATATACACGTGGCAGTCATCTACAGCGATTTTCCATCAAACTACTACACTCGCGAGTACAATTTAAAAAAAAAAAAATCTGTCCCGTTACCCCAATGAATGTAGTCCTCCCGTGTCACAGACTTGGATATCTTCCTATTTTTTCCCTCCTCTCTCTATCTCTCCCTTCCTATACATACATCATCGCTTCCTTTGCTCATCCAAAAATCTGCTTCCCCATCTAGGCGTACGTTAGCTTCCACCGCCGTTTATAGGCACATAAAACCGCATTTCCATTTTGTTTTTTTTTTTTTTTGTCTCTTACGCTAGAGGTTTTTGGTATTTTTGAAAATGGCGACGGTTAATAGAGTGGATCTGGACGGAAGGCAGATAAAGCCGATGACGATATGCATGATCGGTGCTGGAGGATTCATAGGGTCTCATTTGTGTGAGAAGATATTGTATGAGACACCGCACAAGATTCTCGCTCTTGATGTGTACAACGACAAGATCAAGCACCTTCTCGAACCGGAAACACTCACTTGGGCGGACCGGATCCAGTTCCACCGCCTCAATATCAAGCATGACTCTCGTCTTGAAGGCTTAATCAAGATGTCGGATCTGGTACCGTTTCCCCCCCTCTCTCTCTCTCTCTATCTTTTTCTTGCTTTTAGTTAACTGTTGCGTTTTGCGTGGTTTTGTTTTCTCGTTACTTAATTTTTGCTTGATTTTGGTTGTAATGCGGCGGATTTGTGCGGTTTAGACTATAAATCTGGCGGCGATCTGTACACCGGCCGATTACAATACACGTCCATTAGACACGATTTACAGCAATTTTATTGATGCGCTCCCTGTGGTACTTTCATTTTCTCCTTTTTGAATTCTCTGTCATTTACGCTTGTTTTTTTTTATTGAATAACGTCCACATTCGGAAATGTTATTGTCGTAATCTTAGAGATCAAGTTGAAATTGACAGGATTTGATTATTAGAACTTTTGAAATTAGTTGAAGTTGATGTGATATTGATTTGCAATGATGACTACACGTGTAGGTGAAGTACTGTTCGGAGAACAACAAGCGTCTAATTCACTTCTCCACTTGCGAGGTGTATGGAAAAACTATTGGAAGCTTTCTTCCTAAAGATAGCCCTCTTCGTCAGGTGAGCTCTCGCTTTCCCTTTTTACTTGTTTAGTTTGTGCCGTGGTAGCTCGCCGACTTTTTATGATTAGGATTTTTCTGTGTTAGCTTACTCCATTTAGTAACATCTATGGGTGGCATCAGTTAAGGATGTCTTTGTTGTGAACATAATTTAACTTTGGTGACTAAATGCTTGTTGATCTGAAATGCTGTGAAGTAAAAGCAATTAAAATTATGTATGAATCTAGATAAGAACCTCTCTATTCTCTTGTGTGTATATATCTAAATGCCTTGTTGATCTGAAATGCTGTGAAGTTAAAGGCATTAAAATTATGTATGAATCTAGATAAGAAACCTCTCCTATTCTCTTGTGTGTTATATATAGTATATATATATATATATATATATTTTTTTTTTTTTTTAATTTTTTTTTTTTTTTTTTTATTTTTTTTTTTGTTTGGCAATCATTCCATTGATTTTTTAATTGTACAAAATAAATCAAACGTTTTTTATTTTTTTTTTTGTTGCAATCATTCATTGATTTTAATTGTACAAATAAATCAAACGTTTTCGAGACCTCTTCTATATGGAAGGTGTAAATGAGTATTATTCATTGGCTGCATTATGATTTTTAGAGGTAAATTACATCTTGGGGCTCGTATAGCCAGGATATGTCAAAACCAACTGGATATCCTTGTAATTTTATTCTTGATGCATGTCCCTAGTGTTTTGAGTTTGGCTTCTGCTGAAGAATAGCGGTTTGATTCAAAAGGTACAAGAAGGGGCCCTTCCTTTTTGGTGTTGCATCATGATATATTAGACCCAGTGTGTTGGAATTTATTGATGGATTGTTTGAATATTGTATTATTGAGATTAGGAAAGATATGGAAATTGAGGTTGAATTTATTATGGACAAGGATTTTTCCTTAAAGCCTATGATCTTCCCATTTGACTGTGGTTTGGCTGATTTTTCCAATTATGTGTGGTAACAAGCAAGTTTACACATTTTGAATCCTTAATTAACTCTCCAATTTACATATTCTAGATTGATTAATTACTTGCTCTGAGCTGATGTAATATCATGGTACTTGTTTTACGGGGCGGTTCTTGGGTATCTACTGAATCTTGGATTGGGACCTTGCTTCTTGTAGATATATGCATCATTGGGTCTTTAAATAACTATTACCACTATGCTTGACTAAGGAAAGAAGCAAATTTGCTTTGGAGAATATGTGCAAAACGTGAGAGATGGGTTAAGGGGGGTTACTGAATTGTGTTTTTGGTTAGTCCTGTTGCTATGGAGCACACTGCTAGATTCCTGGATTTAGTGGCATTCTTGCTTCCATGTGGGTGCCAGAGGACAGAAGGACTTCTATGTTCTTCTGTAGCAGTGACAATCTGTGAGCAAGTTCCTGAATCATTTCTGTTTTTCAATAATTGAGTAGTCACCACTAAAGTGATTTTTATTGGGCATCGGCAGGTAAATAGATTCAGGTGGCATAGATCTGCTTGTCTAGGTATTCTAGTTAATTGCATGGAGTATATAGTATATTTTATTCTTGAGGTGTATATTGCAAACTCATTTATCATATATGAGATATATTGCAAACTCATTTATCATATATGAGATATTTGTAATGCCATTAAGCATCCTTCTTTATTCTTATCAATATTGCTACTACAAGCATATTTGCGCATCAAGAAGTTTAGCACCAATAGATACTTCTAATGTGCATTGATGAATGATGAATATTATTATCTGTTTTGCCAGTATTTTCAATTGAAAGCAATTTTTGTTAGTTGTTTGAGGATTGCTTGGTTTTGTTTCTTATTTTTGGAATGAGCTTGAGTTGTAACTGTGCTATGTTATGATAGGATCCTGCCTACTACATACTCAAAGAAGATGAATCTCCTTGCATTTTCGGTCCCATTGAGAAGCAGAGGTGGTCTTATGCCTGTGCAAAGCAATTGATTGAGAGGCTTATATATGGTAATCTATCTTGTCTATTTGTTTGGCTGTTTCTTTAGATAGAACATTTTTTTAATTTCTCGACTCTTGATTACAGCCGAGGGTGCAGAGAATGGCCTTGAGTTTACCATTGTGAGACCTTTCAACTGGATTGGACCTAGGATGGACTTCATTCCTGGAATTGATGGCCCAAGTGAGGGTGTTCCCAGAGTTCTAGCATGCTTCAGCAATGTTAGTCTAATTTTCCTGCCATGAATTTGAATCATATAGAATTGGTTTAATTTTACCATACTTTGGTGCTTTTTGTGATGCTTCATTCTTGTGGACCAGGCTCTGCTGCGCCGTGAACCACTCAAGCTTGTGGATGGTGGACAATCCCAGAGAACTTTCGTTTATATCAAGGATGCCATTGAAGCTGTTCTTTTGATGATTGTATGTACTATTTGTCTTTTTATGTTGTCCTTTTGTGTACTTTTCTCAGTTAAGGTGCACCTGATTGCACAACAATAACTACAACCAAGCCCTAGTCCCAAACTAGGTGTGCCTGAATATTATTATATTTATGTAGGAAAATCCGGCCCGGGCTAGTGGTCATATTTTTAATGTTGGAAATCCTCACAATGAAGTTACTGTCAGGCAGCTTGCAGAAATGATGACGGAGGTGGGGATTATCCAGAAAATTCAATTTTCTTTAGTAACTATTGGATTGGATTTGTCCTTCATATCCTGGAGTTAATGTGCTTTCTCTCGACAGGTCTATTCAAAGGTAAGCGGAGAAGCTGCTCTGGATGTACCAACAGTTGATATCTCCTCCAAGGAATTTTATGGTGAGGGATATGATGATAGTGACAAAAGAATTCCAGACATGACCATAATCGATAGACAACTTGGTATTAATTGGTTCCTTGGCTGCATTTTCAATTTTTTTGTTTTCCATTTTGAAGAATCAAGCTTATTAATTTGACATTTGGTTGTGTGTATGGCAGGTTGGAACCCTAAGACATCACTGTGGGATTTGCTTGAATCAACCCTTACTTATCAACACAGGACATATGCAGAGGCAATTAAGAAGGTTATGGCAAAACCTACATCCAGCTAAGGAGAAGGGGAATCCTTGGGTAGGCTGTTTTTTAGCATGAGTTCAAATTCTTTGTTAAGGGAAAATTTTTAAATATCTGTTAGCGGTTGGTTCAATATACACTACAATTTTTTGTCTTTCCAGTGTCAATAGTCAATGGCTCGCGGTAGCTCATGAACCTTGTGTTTCAGATGTTATTCATGAGAAGAATTATTAGGTTCTTATTAGGTAAGTATATTTTGTTGCTGTAATTTGTCTTTTGAGCTTGGGCTACGACATAATGGAGGCAGTATACAAAGTTTGTTCTGTTTCTTTAGAGGCTTGAATGGCAATTCCCTCTGTTCTGGTTTTTCAGGATGCGTTGTATTAATTTGTTTGACCCTCTCAAACTTTTGTTACTTTCTAAATTATTATTTTTATTATTTCCAAGCTTCCATGCTCGATGTCATTTTCCCTTTTCCAAAATTTGAAGTCGTAGGAAAAATGATTTTCACATAGTTTTTTTTTAAAAAAAAAAAAAAAAGAAAAATAGATTGAGATAAATAGTTGGACCAAATGTTAGTTAATGGCGCTTTAGCGATTGCAGCTTGTGTAAAACTTTGATGTTTTCCATTCTAAAGAGAGATTATTAAGATTAATGAATTTTTAACTGTTGGAACTCTGCATATGCTATTTGATGTCACCGTTTCATTCTCTGGACGTGCTTCCATTTGACTGTTCACATATCTCGTTGCTGTGATATTGAACATCTCTGAGCTGTTATCGAGTATGAGATCCGTTTTGCTTTCTTGAATCTGTAAATAATTTTGTTCATTGATTTTCTCTGGCGTCTGTATAGATTGAATTTGAAATTCTTGAATTAGAATTTGATTCTTAAATTGATATTTGGATACCAATCTAAAATTGAAATTCTGGATTCAATCCAAGAATTGGCAAACTTTCCTTCACTCAATGCATGTTTGTGATATACACCAAACATCAAAATTAAAATTTAATTGTCCAATTCTAAATTTAGGATGCCGCTAGACACTTCGTGATTGGATATCTCAGTTTTGATCGGCTTGCTGGTCATACGAGAGTAGAATAGAACTTCTGGCAAATTTTTCGAAACAAGAATTTCACTAATTTTTCTGAAAAATTAGAACTAGTATAAATTATTATACAAATTAATACAAAAAACTTGCAGCGAAATAATAAAATTTTTACATGGTTTCCAGGATCTTAAATTATCCATAAATAAATTGAATTATATAATTTTTTTAATTCCTTTTTCCAATATCAAACCCCAGTAATTTTTCTCAGGCTCTTATGCTTGTAATTGTAAAGGACTCCGCGATCTTCAATTGGAAAAACCTAAATCTGAAAAGGCTTTTTTTTCCCTCTTTGTCCGAGAGCTCATTTGTCTTACATTTCCTAAGGTCGTCACTAAATTGAACTGGTGGTTTCGGACTGATTTTAAGCCTATTGGTTTTTGTTTTTGCATGATTTAGGCACAACTCCTAACATTGATTCAGTTTCAGGGAGCAGTTCTATTTCTATTTTTTTTATTATCAGAACCATCAGTTTCAACCGATTCTTATTTCAGACCATTAGGGTTCAAATCGAGATCGGGCTTGTCCTTATTGATTTTGGTTCAATTCAAAATTGAAATTTCCTAATCGGTTAGGGTTTGAAATTTTTGAAGAGAAACTATAAAATTGTAAAATAGATCTTTATTAATCTGTATCGTACGAAGAAGAAGAAAAAAAATACAGATGAGTTTCTAACTTCTCATATCTAATATTAACTATATTATATCTAGCTGTATACTTGTCTGCATTAGCTCCTATACTAACCCACGTATACTTATGCCACATCAGCATGAGCAGTTATATTTTCCAACTCAACAAAGACTACAGTTAACTAATAATAAAATAAATAAATATACCCAACACTTTTCCTTTGCCAATTCTACAGCATAGTGGATTTCTCTTTAATTTTCTATTTTGAGTTGGAAAGGCAACTTCCATAGATTTCACCATTATTATTTTTGTCAAAATCTGAATAAACTCATTGGTTGGCTATGATCCATGAAACACCAAAGACTTTCAATCTCTAATTCTTTCTTTTTGCTTTGGTAAATTTTTAACTAATGATTCAAAAAATAAATTAATTAATTCTTGAAATGATTTTACATTATTAGGCAAATAATCCAACATTAAAATTACATTTCTAATCTTTCTCGCACATTCATATAACATATATCATCACTTTAGGTTTCAACGTGCTTTTATTTCATGAGGGAAATTTCAATATTGTTTTGAAAATGTCAAAAGACCAATATTGCTCTTATTCCATTTACAACCAACCTATTGGTCTTTTTTGCCCTTGGGTAAATCAACTATTTACCATATGTGATTAGCTTCAAGTGCATCAAACTCTTTTTTTATAGCTAATTGCCAATTATCTTCATGTTCAGTATGAACATAGGATGAGGGTTCATGAATTTTCTATATTTTTTCATAAAGATTTTTTTTTAATTTCTTGAGGTGGGCAGGCCCCATGGGCTTGAGATTCACATAGCCGCTATGAAAATAATAAATGTACTAAAGGATATCAATAAATTATGAAGGAATTCTTATATTACAAAAAAAAAAAAATACAAATATTACTCAATTATAAATCATATTAAAGTATTAAGTAATATTTAAACTTAATAAGAAATTTTCATATTAAAATTTAAAAAAACAAACTTTAAGAATTAACATTTTAGGATGAAAAAATTCAAAAAAACATTTTAGGATGAAAATAAAGGACTAATTAGTTATGTCCCTTAGTATATCTAAACTATTGATAAAAAAATTTCATGTTAAACATTTTTATACTTATTAATTCTTTTATTTACTTATTTATGTGTATTTGTAGCAATACATTTATATTTTTCTTTAGATTCTTTATTTATAATTACTTGCTTAACTTCTTTGGTCTACCAATTTTAAATCTTCTATTTTGTATTGTTATGTGTCTTCATATTTTTACCACACTGATAAATAATAAAGAAATAAATAAAGGATACTCTCATACATTCTCTACTCTTTATCCATTTATAGATTTAACTCCACTTCAGCCACTAGCATTTCAACAATCCAAATTTGAGCAGAGAAGAAAAAGAGAGAGATGAGAATTAAAAGAGATTTGAAAGAGGAAAGGAAGATAGAGAGAGAGATGAGGATGGGTAAAAGAGATATTTGCAACTTTTCAATTTTTTTTTTCTTTTTTTCCTCTTCAACATGATGTATAGGGTAATATTAAGTGACATGGCGCACACATGTCATTACTTTTTATATAGTCAATGCAAGTGTACGATAAACGGTTTCTCAACTCTAGCGAGAGACACAGTTATAACAAAATATAAAATTTGAAATACCTAAATAGTTTTTCATAAAATTGAGAAAGCCATAAAGTTTGTTTATGAAAGCCCAGGGATAAAACCTGCATTCAACCATTTTTATGGAAGGGGAAGGTTGATATATTATTATTGCACATGCAATAAGCAAGTTATTTTATGATGATGTTTACATAAAGAAGCATCTTTCTAGCCAAATAGATTTTATATCATTAGTTTAGACAATCATAACACAACCACTGCATTGATTATAAATCATACCAATTCTGCCAATTATTCCCTTCACCTACCTTACAAAACAAGGCATTTTGCTTTTCCTAATCCCTAATGTTGAGAAACAATTTGTAAAATGTAACATCATGATTAAAGATGCCCTAAATTTTTTTAAGGCCATCAAAATATCATATTTATATATTATATAGCTTTCTGTCCTGAAATATAAATCATTTTAGGATGATTATTTTGTCTCAAAATATAAGATATTTTGAGTATTTTAAGATGTAATAAATCTTTTTCAATTCTACCTTTAGATATAGTAACTACATTCACCACTTATCCTTCATTTTGTTGTAATTTAAGGAGATTAATTACTTACTTAATCTCTATGCAAAAAATTTTGAACGATTTATATTTTGGGATGGAGTAATATATACTCCCTCCGTTCCACTTTAATAGCAGCATTTGATTTTTTTCACAAGGATTAAGAAAATGATTGAAATACATTGATTTTCTAAAAATATATGATAGAATGTCTAAATTGTCATTCTTAAAAGTAAAAAAGTTCCTCTCTGATTTGGAAAAAAATAACTAATAAATATGGATAAAATAAGAAAAAATAATTAATATACTCTCAAAATCCTAAACGAGCTCTTAAAATGGAGCAAAGTAAAATTCATATTTATTACTATTAAAGTGGAACGGAAAAAGTAATATTGATTGTGTTTGATGAACTGTAGTGAGATGTAATCACATGTATTTTTAATATAAACAAATTCACTACATTCACATATATTTCAAAAAGATTTTCCTCACATTTAATGCTTGTTAGATATGTGAAATGGGAAATTTATGGATTTGAAGGATATTTTAAGATAAAATTAAGTGATTTTAAATTTTATCAATCATAAAAAAAATGAAGAAAATGAATAGATGCGATCTATTTCTTCAAAATGATGAATTGAGATCATGATAGAATTTATTAATTAAATAACTTTTGGCCTAATGTTTTCACTAAACATATGATTTTAATAAATTCATGAAATGTTTAAATTTCTACTTATCCTATCCGATCGTATTCGTATTTTTTGGATTCTTATTAATTAAAAATTAATTAATTTTTAAGTTCATTTGATTATTTAATTTAGTTTAAATGAGTCTATTCATATAAGCCAAGTTCAATTAAATAATTAGTTAATAGATTTTAATTTAATTTAACTAGCTAAGGATAATGATAAAATCAAAAATAGAGCTGAAGTATTGTAAGATGGCTACTATAATTATTAGAGCACCTCCAATGCAATCATGGATTTTGACTAATATGTCTTAATAAATAGAAGTTGTAGATTGTGATGTAGCTGAATGTGTATTTATAGATGTTAGATTTTAAAAATGGTTTTCTAATACATGAAGAAGAAATTAATTTCAGCATAAAAAGAAATTTGTGCGCAAACAAAAGAAAAAGGCATAAAGGAAAATAAAAAATAATAAAAAATGAATAAAAAAAAACAAAAGCAATGAGTCACTATATATAACAGATTCTCTGAAAATAGAAAGTATGATGTACAATATTTTTTTTCTTCTTGATACATCAGACTCACAGACTAAACACACAACAACAAATGAGAATGTTTTTGTTTTCAACTTTTCAATTTTTTTCAGATATAACAAATAAATTAAAACAATCCACGGTTGTATTGGAAAAATTCTTATATGTTGAGCATTTGAAAGAGAAACAGTGGTGCACCTATTTACCCACAATCAGGATCATCTAATACACTAAAATTACGATCATCGACAAAGCTCAGTAATGGAGATCGAGAATAGAAGAAAAAGGAAGTCATCTTGTTAACCATGTTCAAGAAATGCAGTGATAGGAAATATGGGTGCTCTAAGAGATTCTAAAATAGATTATTAAGAGAAGAAACAAACATGAGGAGAGCCCTAAGTGAAGGGTATCAAAATGGCAATCCATAAGGTGTAAAATACAATTACAAAGTACTTATTGATGGGATGGCAATTGAACTCAGAGCTATTGGTCATGGGACCTCCACTTTGACCATTTACTTTACTAGTTCTTTTTTTTTTTTTCCCATGCGGCTTTACTACACAAATACTTTTTTTTTTTTTCCATGCAACTTTATTTTTCCATATAATTTTTTGTTTTTGGCACTCAATAATTCAATTTCTCCTGCTAATAGAGTTGCAAACCATTTACCGTGTAGGTAGCTCCTGCAATTGTTTTGATTAAGAAATCGGATACCACAGCCTTTTATTTAAGATAATTTACGCTTTAAGTATTTGACACGCATACAATTCATTTATTTTAAACTGTCAATTAATAGATTTGTCTCGCTTTTAAGAGAAACAATTTCATCACTTAAATTTCGTATAAACATTTATACTTATTTATAATATAATAAAAAATATTTTTACTGTTAAGATATGTAATTTTTTACATGACTAATTAAAATTGTGGCAATAAAGTGGTCAATGCTAATTTGTGGGAAGGGTGAAAATTAACGATGTGTCCTATGCTTCCCCATAGCCATTTTGCCAAAGATCACTTCAACTTTATGGAAAATAATTTATTTATCTTTTTGTTTATTGAAGAACAGTATTTGATTAGAGAAGGATCACTGTAACTAATTGGTAAGCTCCTCCTTGTCGACTAATAATTCTAGGAAAACATTCAACAAATGGCCCAGGAAACGCTCCAAGCTGTTATAAACGGACGCGTTTCGAATGATGATTACAGGCAAAGTGTTCGACAAAAAGTGCGAGACAAACATAATTCTTTTTTACCAGTTTTTTCCTCTCTTATCATTACCGTTGTCTTTCTGCTTCCTTTCATTTCTACAACATTTAGCAGCCGGCAATTTCCATTATCCTCCATAATTCTTGTGTTTCGTCTTTCCTTTTCCTTTCACTTAAAAAATATGAATTTAAAATTTTAAAAATTTATACTTTGTGCTTTCTCAGTTTCACTTTTGCCGCCTGTATGTCGTCTTCTGCGCTTTCTTTTCTTCTTCTTTACTTTCTTTAAACTGTTTCCACTTTTTGGGTTTTCCTTTTTATTTTTAAAATTTTATGGTCCATGTTGTTTGCGGTTGGTGGTTTTCTCGTTTGGGGTTTTAACTGGGCATGAAGTTCGGCTTTTGATGGGCACACATAATACACTATTCGCACTTGTGTGTGTTTTTCTTAGCTGTAAAGAAGGCCCACCGGACTTGCCTACGCTACGCACGGCCACAATTGATTCGCTTAGACTCTTCAAACGTTTTTTGGTGCTTCTTTTGCTTGGCCCTGCTCTCTTTATTTCCCTTTTAAAACCGTGATGTAGAAGTAATACTTAACATCTCTTCGTAGGTAATTTAATTTCCCTCTTGTTTTAGAATCTTTTCTTCTCATGCCCACCTAAGCTTTAGCCTAATTTAAGGATCAAAAAAGGGTCCTTGTTCCTTCTTAGCTTAATCATGGCCCCTGCAGGGAAAGTTACTGGGTTTCATAGAGAGGGCAATGACTGGTACACACTTATTTCTCTCTCAAACCCATTTTCTGTGCTTTTTAAGCTATTTTCTTCCTGGGTATGTGCTTATTTTGTTTAATTCGAGTAATTACTCTCTTGTTGTCTAATTTGAAGGCAGAATTGTACTGCTGACATGAATACATGTTCAGTGTTCTGGTACAATCAAAAGTCAAAGGGTTGTCAAAAAAAAAAAAGTCTTGGTTTTTAGTTGTGGTTGTGATCATCTGATAAAAGCTGTTAATTCCTTATGTGAAAATAAGAAAGGAGAGCTTATAGTATTGTGATTTTCGGTGGGTCTGGCAGGTCTTGCAATGCAGGGTTGCCAAGTGATATCACTGTCGTCGTGGACGGCATAAACTTTCACCTTCACAAGGTGAGCCACTATTCTTCCATTTGTAGGCTTTGGAGACTTAACTAACTCGTTGATACTTCCTTTTTGTAGCATCTTTAAATGTATCTGACCTGAATTTTAAATCTTTATTCACCTATCATTTCATTGTAGTTATACTAATTAAAATTTGGGTCAAATTTGAAATTCAAAAAGCACAACGTCACGTGAATATTCTTATGCTTCAGAGAAATCTATCTTATGGTAGCAATTCAGGAGAATCAATAAATTTTATCCTTTCTTTAATGGTTGAGTTTTATGGGTTGAACAGAACATGTGTATTTAGACCATTCAGCAAAGAACCATTAGAATGGGTGTTTACTATATACTTGGTTTGCTGGTGGCAACCAAGTTGTTAACTTTTGAGTGAGTTACCCAGGTTCAAGAATCTAGAGCCTCTGGGGCATAGCAAAAGAATTGTGGAATTCATTAGAGTATTATCCCTTTGTGTTTCACAATGCCAAATAGCCTTGGAATTTGTAATCCCATGTATTATCTGTCAGTAATTGGTGAGGGATTAAGAGAAAATGCAAAACGGAGTGAAGAATGTTGAGGTGGAAAGGTGGCTTTCTTGGGGGTTAGCCAAGAAAGCCTTAGCCTGCAAAGGCCATAAATGATTCCTGCTTCACTAGAGGAAGTCTTGGCAAGTGAAAATGGTAATACATAAGCCCTTCCAAACCACAATGCTTATATCCTTTCTATTTATTAGCCTCCTATCTGATGCCTTTCAAATAAAGCAACCTATATGCAGCAGATTCTGGATTTTCTTTCCTCTGAACATTCGCAAATTTGCTTTTCTTGGAAGGTTGCTAGAGAGTAAGAAGCTACTTTAAACGGTTTGTTTAGAATGGTATATTATTCAGTGAAGTAGTGAGAGTCTGAGAGACCAAAAAAAGTGTTATACACTCACCGTTGCTGAATTGTTCCTCAAGGTTGTATCATTAAGAACAGGAATTTAACCTCATTTTTGCTATGAAATTTTGGTAATGGGTTCCCTTTTCTCCTTTGAACTTGATTGGAAGTAAAAAGTTATGCTGAACTAATATGCTGGACACTGACGTTAAAACCATTGACACAAGGATGAAAGGCCTATGTCAATTTATCATAGAAGCCAAATTAGTAGATGGAAATATGACATATAAGTTGTGTGCAAGTGAAATTAATGAGCTCTTGGAGTCTTATTTTCCTCAATATAAATTTTTTTTTTTTTTGGGTATCTTGTATGCTAACTGAACTTATTGTATGTTGTTCACTAGGAATTGCGGAAATGAGCAGTAATGAATATGTGTGGAATGGTTCGTGGTGGTCAGGAATGTATTTAGGTCACTAGGCAACCGAGGACCAAATGTAAGCTAAGGTTTTCAAAAAGCATCTGGTTCCAAAAGTTTGGCGGGATCTTGCTAGTTAAGTTCAAGATACATCTAAATCATAGGCCAATTGTAAAGAAATGACTTCTGGGGATTTTGATTGAATGAATCAACCTATGCTCATCTGATTTTGGTTTATTCAACATATGGTTAATTCCGCACTTACACCTTCTGCTATGAATAATTCCTTTTCTTTTTCTAGTTTGCCTTAGTTCTTTGATTCTTTCCACTACCAGTCTCCTATGACCTTTCCTTTGCTAGGTACTCATAAGGGCACAATCAATTGGAAGGCCTGGTACCCAGGGCTTTTTTGGTTGGCAAGTTGTGTCTTCATTTCTAGAAGAAATTGCTTTCTGTTTTACTTGTTCAAATGAAAGTTCATGATCAGCAGTTATATTCAAGAGGAATATGATGTGAATTAACTGGCAGAGTGTTTATCGTAGGTTGGGATATTGCATCTTTGCACTTTGAACACAATAGTAAAAATTTTGATCTTTTAATCGTGGTATATTTCCTGCAACCAACTTCCAACACCTTGTTTTGTGTTTGTCCTCTGTAATTGCACACTGTTATTATTTGTGTAGTACTTTCTCGACCTTTTAGTATTATATTGTTGTCAAATAAGATTTTGGAACTGTTTTCTAACGATATTTGACTATCCAGTTTCCATTAGTATCAAAATGCGGGAAGATAGCACGAATATGTGAAGGATCTCTTGAAAAAGTGTTCAGCACTGCCCTTGAAGAATTCCCTGGTGGACCTGACACTTTCTTGGTCATAGTAAAATTTTGTTATGGCATGCGGGCAGAATTGACACCAAGAAACATAGTAATTGTGTCTTGCGCGGCAGATTACCTTGAAATGACAGAGGATTATGGAGAAGGTAACTTGCTTTCCAAAACGGACGGTTTCTTCCACAAGAACATACTTCGAAACTGGAAGGACTGCCTATTGGCTCTTCAAAGTTCTGATCCTGTTTTGCCAAGAGCAGAAAAACTCCAGATAGTAGGTAAATGTTTGAATGCTTTATCTATGATGGTCTGCACAGATCCTAGTTTGTTTGGATGGCCCATGATGATGTATGGCAGCTTACAGAGCCCAGGTGGTAGCATCCTGTGGAATGGAATAAACACTGGAGCTAGAATCCGAAGCACAGAATCTGACTGGTGGTTTGAAGACATTTCTTACCTTAGCGTGGGTTTGTTTGAAAAACTAATCCATACAATGGAAATAAGAGGAATAAGACCTGAAAATCTTGTGGGTGCAATTATGTACTATGCTAGGAAGTACCTACCAGGTCTGGGCCGGTGGCAGAGTGGACAAAGTAGCAAAACTAGAACTGTTGCTAGTTTCAGTTTGACACCTGCTGCTGTTGATCAAAGGGTTCTTTTGGAAACCATTGAAAGGCTTCTCCCAGAAAAGAAGGGGAAATCTTTCTGCCGCTTTTTACTGGGACTTCTTCGTGTTGCACTGATTTTGGGTGTCAGCCAAACATGCAAGGACTCTTTAGAGAGGAGAATAGGGATGCAACTGGAAATGGCAACCTTGGATGGCCTTCTTATTCCCACATACTCAGATTCTGATACTTTATATGACACTGACTGCATGGAACGGATAATCTATCGCTTCATGACCTCAGAATCAAAGATAACATCATTTTCTCCACCATCATTGGACCTGGAAACATCACCATCTTCTGAACCATTAAGGAAAGTCGCTAAGTTGGTGGATAACTATATAGCAGAGGTTGCTTCGGATGTAAATTTGAAACCCAGGAAGATACGATCTCTTGCAGAGGCCCTTCCAGAATCTTCAAGACCATTGCAGGATGGGTTATACAGAGCTCTGGATATATATTTCAAGGTTTGGAACTTTGGGTTTACTGGAATTTCTCCTGAAATAATATTTCTTCTTAGTTTTAAAGGTTTGTAATAATTAATGGCTGTGCAGGCACACCCTTGGCTCTCAGACAGAGATAAAGAAGAACTATGCAATGTTATTGACTACCAGAAACTATCCATTGATGCCTGTGCCCATGCTTCACAGAATGAAAGGTTACCGCTTAGAGTTGTTCTTCAAGTCCTGTTCTTTGAGCAGATGCAGTTGAGAACTGCTCTTGCTGGCTGTTTGCATGTCTTGGATGCTGAAGGTGCCCCTGCAGGTCCCATGTCGGTCCCAGGTGACACAGCAGGGCAAATTGTACAGAGAGATGGTTGGGTAACTGTTGTGCGTGAGAACCAGGTACTAAAGGGAGATATGGAAAATATGAGGTCTAGGGTTGGGGAGCTTGAAGAAGAATTTAGTAAAATAAAGCAAGAGATGAAGAGGGTGACTAAATCACACAGCTCACTTAGTTCCCCTCGCTTGGTTGCCTGGAAAATGGGGTGCAAGCTTCTTCCACGATCCTCAGATGCACAACCAGATGCAGTTGACAGCACTGGACCCACTCCAAGAGCATCAGTTGAGCAACCACGTTCTTCTCGTCATTCTAGACATAGGAAAAGTTTCTCTTTGTTTTGATAGCTAAGCTAACACAGGGGAAAGACTTTAAACATGAAATATGTGTATAAATGAAAAGGCAGTACAGAAAAGGTCGCGCGATTGTCTAGCAGCACGTGATCAAGATATAAGGGAGGACTTCTGCTTCTTCCGATCCTTTAAAGCATACTTCTTCTAAAGTTTAATTCAGCATTTGAAGGGGAATTTTTCTTTCCCAAATTTTTGGAGAGGTGGGTCATGTTGAATTTTGAACAAGTTGAAAATGTGATATGCTCCAGTCCAAATCTGGCATTATAGGCATGCTATTCCAGATTTAGAGTGGAGCTACCAGACAACACACATCATCACAGAAAAGAAATGTAATTATGACATATAAACTGTTTTCTTTTATTCTTTTGTCAACCCTCTTACAGGTGTGTTTCTGTGCATTGTTTTGTAAGATCGTAATTGGGAATATGTCAGAAAATTCATGTTGCATTGTGTAAATATCACCTCTTTTTCCTTTGTTTTACGAAATTATGAGTTTATTGGATTCCTACTGAAGCCTGCGGAGGTTCATTGGTTCTTATAGTTATGCTATAATGTGGCTTGGCTTGTGTAGCTATCACCAAGTTTGGTCAAAGGTTGTTTAATTGTGTTTTTGGTTAGTCTTGTTGCTGTACTCCTCACCACTAATATTCCAGGATTTTAGCAGCATTCTTGCCTTTCTTCCATGAGGATGTTTAAAGCCTCAAGCAATTTTACTGTTTTACTGTGGGGCGATAATCTACGAGTAAGTATCAAGTTTTTTTTATGTATTATAATAACGGAGGGCGCAGATGATAGCCTAAGTGAGGATGTTTACAGGCTTCTGTCATGATTTACCAATGTTTAGTCTGATTTAGTCAGTCTTGCCCTGAATCTAGGTGCCTATGACTTCGTATCTCAGGAGATCCGTTTTCCTGCAAGGAATTTGAATCAACAGATTCACATTTTCTATCTTGAGTGGAGCTACTATACGATCATGTATTTATCAAAGAAGAAACACTGTATTGATCACAATTTTAAGCTTTTTTGTATGCTTTTATCAACTCTTTACATGTGTATTCATGGTCAGCTCTATGAATTTGTTTGCAAGTATAAGAAGAATATATCAGAAGACTCTTGCTGCATTGTCTAAACTCCTCTTTGGATTTCTTTGATTCATAAATTGATAAGAACATCATGAGCTGTCTCGTAATAAGACCTGTTATTGCTGATACCTTCTTCTCAGTTCCTTTCTTCTCCTTCTTCTATAACCTGAGCTCGAAGAAGGAAGAGATAAGAGGGCCCGTACATTTTTTTCTAGTTTGGCATTGGAGAAACTTTTGAATCTTGATTTTCAAGTGCACTGGCCTTGATGGCATACTTGCATTTCTTCTTGTCACAGAGCTATGATAGATACAGGGCCTGAACTTGTATATGACGATTGGATCGCTCAATTGACTTGTACCAAATCATCAGATTGTGAAATTGTTGGATTATCGCGAATCCTTAAGATGAACTGTTTTTTAAAAAGTCCAAACTATAAAACATCGTCGCTTTGGCCGAGTGGTTAAGGCGTGTGCCTGCTAAGTACATGGGGTTTCCCCGCGAGAGTTCGAATATCTCAGGCGACGATTTATTTTTAATATTATTTCTAATGTTCTATATTATTTTATATATATTTTAATTTAAAGTAAATTACAAGCATTGAGGTCGATTTGGCAGAGTGGTTAAGGCTGGGCCTACTGAGAACATGGGGCTTGCCCGCGAGAGGTCGAAAATTTCAGGTGACGACTTAATGCTACTATTATTTTTAATGTTCCATTTGCATTTACAGTTTTATTCCACTTTAACGTAAACTAATATAGATAAATTATTATTACTATTATTATATAATCTCTGAAAGTTGACTTAATTTAGTGAATTTCTATTTTTAATAAAAAACAAATTAACTGATCTTTTATATTAATAATAAAATAACACATTCATCCAAAATAAACAGAATAAAGTATATGAACAAATTAAATAATCTTTTTGTTTTTGTTAATAATAAAATAATATATTCATCCAAAATAATATACAAATAAAACGATTTGTTTGTTTTAATTAATAATAAAATAATACATCCGCCCAAAATAACCAAAATAAAGTATATACAGTAAGTGATCATAATTTAATAAATTTGCCTTTTTAAGAAAAAAATAAATTAATCATAATATATATATATATATATATATAGAAAGAACCAGATGGGCTTGACCCGCGAGAGGTCCGGAAAATTTTCACGGTTTTTGACGCGGACTTAATGCTTTACTATTATTTTTTTAATGTTGCCAATTTTGCCATTTAACGTTTTTATTCCATTTAAACCGTAAAGCTAATAATATGATAAATTTTATTACTTGATTATTATATAATTCTCTGGAAAAGTTGACATATAAATTTAGTGAATTATTCTAATTTTTAAATAAAAAACAAATATAACTGATCTTTTTATATTAATATATAAAGTAACTTTCATTCCAAAATAAACAGAATAAAAGTATATGAACAAATTTAAAAATCTTTTTGTTTTTTTGGTTAATAAAAAAATAATATATTCCCCCAATCCAAAATAATAATTACCATAATAAAAACGATTTGTTTGTTTTAATTAATAATAAATAATACATTCCGCCAAAAATAACCAAATAAGGTATACAAGTTAAGTGGAATCATTAATTTATAAATTTTGGCCTTTTTAAGAAAAAAATAAATTAAATCAAATAATATATATTATAATATATTATATTATTATTAACGGGAGGTTTAATTTCCTTCAAAATCTTTAAGTTGTATAGACTCAAATATTATTTTTTTACATGGCATAAAAAAAAAAGTAAATTTCAAAGTCCCAGGGAAAAAATGGCCACTGTTGTGCGGCTTTGAAACCTTGCTTTATTTAAACTTCAATGCCTCCGGTCCCCCCCTTGCTTCCTTTGACCAAAATAGTCTCAGGCAATTTTCAAATCAATTCAATTTCAATTAAAGAAGGATCCCGAAATATATATATATATATATATATATTAAAACGAGGAGGTTTAATTTCCTTCAAAATTCTAGTTGTATAACTCAATTATTTTTTAATGATAAAAAAAATAAATTCAAAGTCAAGGGAAAATGCCACTGTTGTGGCTTGACGCTGCTTAATTTAACTTCATGCCTCCCGCGTCCTTGCTTCCTTTGAAAAAGTCTCTAGGCATTTTCAATCAATTCAATCAATTAAAGAGGATCCGAAAAGGCTCTTCCCTCTTTTGATGGCGAATCTTGATTGAATGACACTAGGAATCGATTTGGAGAAAGAAGAAGCATGGCATGAGATACGCGGCGGATTTACATCTCTTAGCTTATGTTTAGTTGTTTATAAATTGAGAATTAAAGTGATTATCAATAAACTTAAATCTCTTTTTTCTGGATTTTATTGATCCTACCCAAACAAGTTTTGTTCCTAGTCATAAGATCATGAATAATATCTTACAAGGTTATTCATTCTCTGAAACGTAAAAGGATAGATTTGTTTTTATGGCTCTAAACATTTATATGGAGAAAGTTCATGATCGAATTCAGTGGTTTTTTCTTTATGACTCTCTTATCGAGTTAGGTTTTCCAGTTAATTTAATTAGTACCATTACGAGTTGTGTTTCTTCGGCTTCAATAAAGGTTCTTTAGAATGAAGAATTAGCGGAATAATTTTCTATTTTTAGAGGACTTAGGCGAAGAGATCTTCTTTCTCCATATCTCTTGATTATATGTATGAAATGTCTTGCTCATCTTATTTCTTTAATGATGACTAAAGGGGATTGGAAGCCTATTTTTTTGGATACCTCCTTTAAATCACTTGTTCTTTGCAGATGATCTTATTATTTTTATCAAAATTTCGGATCCATAAGTTGATCTTTTGAAATACGTTTTTGCTAATTTTTGTGTTTGCTTCGGCTAAAAAGTTAATTCCACTAAAACCATGATTTCTTTTCCTAATAATGTTCCAATTGTGTTGTTCATAAATAGACTTAATTTCAAGTTTAATTTTCAAGAAATGTTCAATCTGAGGAAATATTTGGAAATGCCTTTTACTCCATTCTCAGGTAACTATAACTATTTATTAGCCCATTTTGGATAGAGTTTTTGGGTTAGAATGCTTCTCATCTTCCATTAGATGGTTGAATTACTCTTGCTCAATATGTTCTTTTTGCTATCCCTACCTATTCTATGCAAAAAACTACATTGTCCAATCGTATTTTGAATAATATGGTGAAGGCATGTCGAATTACTCTTAGTCTTTACAAGCTTTACTCCACACAAAAGCCTTAATCTTCAACAACCATCAATTTTCATGGGTTTAATATCGTGACCTTAGTGTGTTTTAGATGTAAGAAGCAAAGAAAAAATGGAGAGAAGGAGAAGGGTTTCGCCAAGCTATGGTAAAAAGAGAGGGGGGTATGAAATAAAGAGAAAAAGAGGAATATATGGTTTTATAGGTGTAAGTAGCATTTTTGTAAATTTGAATAACTTAGGAAGTTGTTGGTTATGTGACTAGGATTAAATCATGAAATTTGATCTGATGGCTACAAATAGTCCTCATAACAACTCCCGATAATTATATTTACCTCCACAAATCTCTTTAAAAATTTTCAATACATTAAATCTTCACTTTTTTAATTTCTAAAAATATCCCGAAATAGTATTCACTAATTAATGGAATTCTCTAATTAAATTTATAACTTAATTTCTACCCACTAAAATAACGCACGCATGCATGCTCTAAAATAAATAAATAAAATATAGGACATGAATAATAATTTCTTCGGATCGAAATACTATCAATTTTTGGTCGAGGGTAATAGCAGGAAAGTGTAACTTCTTAGGAAGTACATAAAGTACTTGTACTTTGTTTATATTATTAACTCTACTTTCTGGGAAGTAATTCATCCAACTTTCCTCACATAAGGGAAGTAAGTTCCTTATAAATGATTAAGGAAGTTCGATTCCTAATTAAGTGTAATGAATTTACTAATTTATCCTATTGTCTAACTATTCAAATTTATATTATAGATATTATTGTAATTTATAGTTTGAGAGCAATTTACTTTCCAGTAAGTTGTTTTATGTATCAAACACATTCAGATTATACTTTTAGAAAAATAATTTTCCAAAAATGTACTTCCTAGGAAGTATATTTCTTGGAAATAGGTCATTTTGGATCAAACGAGGTCTTAGTTTATGTAATTAAAGTTTCTATTTACAAATCAATTCCAAAACCTAAAAAACATTATAATTCAGGACAGACTTAATTTGAATTTGACAAATTTCGTTTCAGTTTAAATATATTACACATTTTAAAAATAAATGCATATAAATATATGGATATCAATTTATATTAGAAATCTTATAGAACCAATCACAGCTGTAATTTTGATTTCATTGTTATTAAGTTACATATAAACTCCATAAAAGGAGATAGTATCCAAGACTAAATCTATAAATATGTTTTATCTTATTTA